TCCTCATGGAGTCTCATAATTTGGCCATAAAGAAGCCTAACTCCTGAGTGTAGAGAACGTAAATTAGTCAGATGGAAGAGATGCTAAGTAGTGACAATGCTATACTGGGTTCCATTACTATTACATACTGATTTAGGGATATATGTCCCTGTAGCTCTTACTAAATACCAAATCACTAACAAAACCCTAACGAGGTTAATCAAGAGCTTAAGATTAAAAACTGATCATTGGTCATAAAATAGGTCTCAATAAATTTTAAAAAATGGAAATGATATAGTGAATATTACTGACTCCAACAGAATCAGATATATGAAAGACCTCTAAAAATACATATTATGTAACACACTTTTAAATAACCCATTAGTTAAAGAATAAATCACAAGAGAAATCAGAAAGTATTTTGAACTAAACTGATGAGAAAATGAAACATATCAAAATTAGTGGGATATACCTAAAGCAGGAATTATACTGAAATTTATAATTTTAAATGCTTATATTTAAAAATAAAGATATTAAGTCAATGACTTAAGCTGTAAGACAGAAAAAGAATAAAAATGTAAAGCAAAAAAAAGAAGCGTAGAAACCACTGATACAAAAAATAAAAGTCAATAAAGCCAAAAGTTATTTTTAAAATGTTAACAAAACAAATAAACAATGAGCTAGACTAATCAAGAACAAAAAAGAAAAAAATAAATTAACTGAATTAGGAATGAAAGCAGGGACAAATCACTATGAATTCTAAAGTCATTAAAAGGCTAAGAAAGTAATATATTAAATAACTTTATAGCAATGGTTTTGCAACTTAGATGAAATAGACAAATTCCTTGAAAAACAAAATGTGGCAGAAGTGTGACTAGAACAGGAAACAAATCCTATAGCTATTACAGAAATTAAATTTGTGATAATCCACCCCCACCCCCACAAAAAACAAACACAAAAAACCTACAGGCCTGTATGGCTTCACTGGGGAGGAAGAAATATGATCAATTTTACAAACTCTTCCAGAAAATAGAAAAGGGAACGCTGGCCAACTCCCCTTATGAGATGAGCATAACCCCGACCAAAAAACCTAACAAGGTTATTACAAGACAAGGAAATTTCAGATCAATATTCCTTATGATCATAAACTTAAAAATCCTTAACAAAATGTTAGCAAGTAAAATTCAGGAGAAAGGATACTAATCACTGACCAAGTAGGGTTTATTCCACAAATGCTAGATTGTTTTAGATTAAAAAAAACTACATAATTTGTGATAATAACAGAATAAGGGGAGAAAAAACATATAACCATTATAACAGATGTGGGAAAAGCATGACAAAATTCAACATCCACTTATGATAAATATTCTCAGCAACTTTGCAATAGAACTTCATCAATCAGAGAAATATCTCCCAAAAACCTTATAGCGAACATCTTACTTAACAGTGATATATTGTATTAAACTCATTCTCCCTAAGACTGAGAACAAGGAAAGGATGTTTATTCTCATCATTTCTAGTCACAATTGTACTGCAGATCTTAGCTAGCTAGTTCAACAGGCAAGAAAAAGAGAGGAAAAGTCCCAGAGAGTTGAAAGAAAAAGTCAAAACCATATCCATACACAGATGACATGCTTGTTTATGTTTAGAGCAAGGTCAACGACTACAAAGCCAACATATGAAAATCTACTGAATTTCTATATACAAGCAACAAAAAAAAGAGAAGATGAAATGTCCTGTTTACAACATGAGAAACATGAAATACTTAGGGATAAATTTAACAAAGCATATGACCTCTACATTAAAAACTGTAAGAAACAGTTGCCTAAGAGAAACAAAAGAAGACCCAATTAAATGGAGGTACACCATTGAAAGATTCAATGTTGTTAACGTGACAATTCTTCCCAAACTGATTTTTAGATTAAAATCCCAAAGCCCCACCAAGGTTTTCCAGTTTGATCGGGGGAGCGGGTAGGAAGAGGGCAGAAATTGGCATAGCTAATTCAAAAATTTGTATGACGTATCCAAGGACCTAGAAAAGCCAAAACAATTATGAAAAAGAAAAATAGTTGGAAGACTTACGACTTACTATAAAGCTAAGCAATGAAGACAGGAGACTGGGTAGTACTGGCGTAGGATAAACAATTGATGGTCAGCATACATTCCAGACAATACACAATTGCTTTTTCGACAATGGTATCAAAAATAATAAGGAACAGATACTTTTTCAACAAATGGTGCTGGAACAAGTGGGTATTTGTACAGGGGAGGGACTTGGGGGGAAGAAAAGCCACACCCATCTCACATTATACACAAAAATTAACTTAAGATTTATCATAAACAAAAATCTAAAAATTAAAACTATAAAGCTTGTAGAAGAAAATACAGGAAAATATCTTCATGACCTTGGAATACGCGAAGATTTTCACAACAATAAAAACACTAGCATAAAAGAAACATGAGAAGCTGGACTTCAAAATGTTAAACTTCTGTTTGTTAAAAGACACGATCAAGAAAATGATAAAAATGATAAGGCAAGCCACAGACTGGGAAAAAACATGCATAATACATATGTCAAACATATGACTTATATCTAGAATATATTTAAAAAATTCTGCAAATTGGTAACAGAAAGACAATGCAATTTAAAAATTGGCAAAAGATTTGAATAACATGACAAAAGATGATATGCAAGTAGCCAGTAAGCAAATAAAAAGGTGCTCATTATCATTAAGCGTCAAGGAAATGCAGTAAGGCACCATTAAATGTCCATAGGAATTGTTATAATTAAAGACAGGCTGGGCGTAGTGGCTCACTCCTGTAATCCCAGCACTTTGGGAGGCCAAAGCAGGAGAATCACTTGAGGCCATGAGTTCGA